TTCACATTCTGTCTCTCACAGTTGAAGTGTACCTCTGGTGCAAATTACTGACCTCTGTCATCATTTTAGGTGGGGGAACTTGCACAATCGGTGCCTGACTAAATACTTTTTTGCCCCACTGTAGCTGAGGAAACATTTGTCCTCTTAGACAGAAGTGGAGTCCCAAGCAGCTTTGTTAGGGCCAAATAGTTACGGCCAGACAACATTGTCAAGATACTCCTAGATCAAAAAATGCTGCTTTAAACTACTCGGTGCCTTTAGAGGACTTCTAGAGATTCACTCAGTTTCCATGCAGATTTGTTAGCCATGGCTTGCTTTTCACTACTACATCCATGGGGAAAAAAATACAACATAAAAGCAATATTTCAAGCTAAACCAAGAGATTAGCTTCAGGGAAGACTTGGACAAGCAGGCTGCAAACAGGATCACAGTGGTTGGTCACAAAGGTTGAACCTGTCTATCCTGCTGGCTGTTCTTTTAAAGTGAAGATGTTCTGCTTGACCTATTCGTAACACTTTTGGATTCCATCTGAACAGTCATGACAAATCCAAAAAGCTGGCTAACACACAAGTTCAGAGGTGGGTTATACTGTTCAAGAGTTGAACGCATTACCATAGCCTGAATGGCCTTACTGTAGTGCTTCCATCTTCCCATCTGTATCTGATTTGAATTCCTCATTATGGATTCCTCTGTGTTTTCTGTTATCTCTGATAAGACAGGACTTAATGATGCGTCTCTGGCAAAAGACAGTAGGAAAAATCACTTAAGCGTCAATTGTTGTTCTTTCCGTTTTATATCAGATGGATTTCTCCTGTCGCTGTTGTTTTTTCCTTTCATTTTCAAATTAAGGATCACTTTGTTGCCAGGTTATGTAGTAGCCTACTCCACAACTGCATACAGATGTTGATTATCTCTTTATGGTCCGCACAGAGGTCAGAGTAATTGGTGTTATTGATGGGGTCCGTTTATTTTGGAAGTAATATAGAGGTTAAACCGCCTCTTTTCTGCCATGGGTAAGAAGTGCTGACCAGCTCAGCTTGCTTTACCTTTTTTCTTCAGTCAGTCATGTTTTCAGCTAACAACATGGCAGCTGGTGAAGATGAAAAGCAAGCCTTTCTTCACTTAAGGATTTATCTTGGTAAGGACGAATGCATGACTTGCATTTCCAATTTTGCACAGAAACTTCCTGTTTATGGATAAGGAATGATAAAAAGATTATACAATTCAGTTGTTCTCACTGGAAATCAGGAAGACATCAGCAAAGGGGGTAATTTAGGTCTTTCATGTGATGAAGTCACAATAACTGGGTGAATTATGGTGTCGTTTTATTGGTGCCATACAAATATTTACTTGAAAACTGTTAGCATATAGTTGAAAGAAAAAATGGGGTGTAATGATGGAAAATGTACACTTCCTTTGTAAGTTTTATGAAGCTGAACGCTATAAAAACCCCTTCAAAACACATTGTGTGATTAAGAAAACATATGGGCGTCTGTTGGAAAAGTTCTTTTCTTAGGTGCGAAGTTGAATTTATAAGGTCATCCAAATGTATTCAGGAACAAAAGGTCTTAGAAAATAAGCTTAGAGTCTCTTTATCCTGTCAGATTTTAAATTGCATCTTCGTCTCACTTCAAGGTTTACGAATCACAGTAGGATCCATCTCCGGCTTAAGAAGTCTCTCCCACATAAAGGCCTGAGTCCTTGCATCTAATGTTTAATCGCTCGATTCCTTCTGCTGGGTAAAACAAAACAAAGTCAGGGGTAAAACAATATTTCCGTTAAATATGCTGCAACTCCAACGTGGCCTTAAGGCTTTAATCCTTGCAAAGAAGGCGGCTTTCAACGGATGTTTTAATGAGAGTTCTTAGTCCAAAATCAACCATTAAAGGCTAAAGGTAAATGTAAAACTATAGGTTCCAAAACAGTTCTGTTCATCTGCAAAAACAAGCCATATAGCTGTCAGATAGGATTTCTTTAATCCTATTTTTATTGTTTTTTTATCCTTGGGGTCGGAGCTTTAGAAGCCTGTATGATTCTTTTTCTCATTAGAAGTGGTTGCATGAAAATGCGATGGCAGTCACGATGTCGCTATAAATCCAATCAAACCCTCCCACACAGTCTTAACAAATGAGGATGTTTAGTAGTATCTTTAAAGCGATTCTTACGTAAGACACTTAACATTTGAAACGTTCCAGGGGTTCTGTGAAAACCAACCAGCATCCAGGTGTTAATAAAACTGTTATCGCTGCCAGTTCTTCTAAGTACCCTTTATGTAACGTGTGTTTTTGTAACACTTTTAATGGCAACATTTGGTTTGCAGACGTCCCACAGCCAGAAAAAGCCTTTCAGAACTGGCTCCTACAAGGTGCTGCGTAATTTCCCCATGAGCCCTGAGATCAACAGCATCTCTCAGACCATCTTGCTTTTTCCGCTACTGAGCTGTACAATACTTTATTTCAATGCCACTTTAGGCCCCATGATACCACACAGATCACTGCTGAGCTTTTACAATCTACAGTAAAACTTTACACACACATGTACATATAGCCCTATATTATAATGAATGATGTTTTAGCTCATTGTTGTACTGTAGTTTAATGGATGGAGAAGCATTGTTGCTGAGTAGTAACGTGCTTTTGTATCATTTGTTTAAAACCGTTCGTTCACCCACATTCAGATAAAAAGCTCTGTCTTATCAGTAAAGAACTACTTGAGGAAACCTGTTAGCAGGTGATGAGAAAGCCTGTTAAATATTTAAAGCTACAAGCCCCAAATGATTAGCATTACCTGACCCTGTCCTATCATCATGAAATGAAAGTCATGTTATTTGAGCTTATTAAGCGTTTGTAATGATATTGTGTTTTACAGGACTATGCTGTTTCCACTGTGCCTGTGCTCGAAGGCCTGCACCTGAAGAGCTTCTGCAGCATGGGAGGACCAGGCCTTATTGTAATCGGCTCCAGTGAACCAGCACAGAAAGCCCTCAAAGTATGGAGCTTGTGTATGTGTGTTTATGTATGTACACCGTAACTATGCTCTCCCTAGCTGTAGTCATGGAAACCTGTGAATTGATGTATTGGCAGTCCTTTCTTTACTTTGACGCACATTGAAGTAGTGGATCCTTTTTCTTTTTTTTCTTTTTTTTTGTTTCATCGTTTGGTTGACATTCTGCTTGATCCGTTAGTATGAACAACCCTGAAAGAATAACGCGACAAGACAGGACATTGCACGTGTTGATTCAGAGCAGACTCCCTTACTTACAGTTTGTTGGCGGCTTCCCACTCCAGGCACATTGAAACCACCTGTCACCTAAATCCATCCCCATTAATTCATATTCTCAGCTAATCTGCGGGGATTGCCCCTGGCGCTCACACTCCAGCTTCAATTACGACTGTATTGTCCTTCCATTAAACAGCTTGAGCTCATTACTGCATAAAAGGCTCCTGTATCGATCGAGCTCCAACAACAAAAACCTGGGGACCGCCAAGACCGAACAGAGGAGACGGCTTACACCCCGACAGAGACGGATCGCTCGTTTGCACCGAGAGTGCAATAAATCTCGGCCCATCCCTCCCATGGAATTATCCCCCAAAATTCCCAAACATTAGCATGTGAACTTTTGCAGTGGCACAAACAAGAGAAATTCAGCGAAATGTGTATTTACACAACACAAAGGCAGGCAGTGTATATATAATTACATAAGTATGAAGACTTACAGGCAAGCACATACACCTTTGGGCTTGACAGGTTCCCTCTGGCAGTATTCCTCATTTGCCTTCTAGTATGATATCTCCCCCTGCTGGCTCAGTACTAAACAGAGTTACTGTAAATCAAGCAAAAGTCGCTTAGTGTATCTCAGAGAACATCAGGCAGCTCTTCCTAAGAAGGCTGAAGTACTCGAGAGAAGCACAAGGTTGGCCCTGTTGGTTTTGTAAGCATGTTTGCATTGCTAAAGTGTTCCCAGGAACCTATGCATCATTGCATAATAGAATTAATTTATAATCCAGTGCCAGCTCATTAAGATTCCTGCCTGTTTGATCACCCCAGTAATTAGCTACTGGGGCGAAGAGTGGCCGCTAGCGAAACTTTATGACAGACTGCTCGCTTTCTAATTATGGCTTACGTCACCCTCTCTCTCGCAGCAATTAGCTCCTGTTTTAAAGGGCCTTTAACAGCCCTGGATTTGTAATTAGATAATGTTCTTTGTGTGAGGGAGAACGAGATCTTATGAATGCAGATTTAATGAATCCAAACTGTTCGTTTGGGATGTAGATGCAGCTCTTCTGGCGATGAGGCTCCTTGTCGAATGCAGCAGACACTTTGTGCAAATTAAAGTTGGAGCCCAGCTAATTCATTCTGTCTTTAGGGAGCTGCGCTTTGCTGGCGTTCAAGAAAATTTGGACCTGCCCATATTTTTATTACGGGGTTGAGTAACGCATTACTCATTTGCAATCACAAAATAGCATCGACGATCTGTAGTTTGTATTTCGGCTATGCTCAGGAAGGCTGAGCGCACCGCGTATCTGTGTTTAGCAGAATGACCGGATGGATTTCATCATCCATCTGTTGCTGTCACTGCCAAGCTTTTCTCATGAAGTCATCATCCCAAAATACAGCCTGTGTCAGAGGCTGCAGCACCCTTTCCCTGTAATCTCGCACTACCCCCCTCCTTCCTACAGAAGACTGCCCGGCAGGCTGTAGATCATCGGTGGCCCCTTCACCCAGCCTAGCTTGATTCATGAGCTCATTGCTCTCTGTTGGTCAGAGTCTGATCTTCACCTCAAGGATGCTTGCACGCTTGAATTTTATAGATAATGAGGTGACGGCATGGTGAAGGTTATGTTGGAGTTATGTTTTTTTTTGATGGCCAAATCCAGTGTTGGAGAATGTAGGTTCCAGATTTGGATTATTTATGGATTGAAGCTTTGTTTCTTGTTCTGTTTCTCCCATACTACATACTTACTCCATACCACTGTTACCATGTAACAGTCATAGATAAAAATCTAGAGCTAAGTTGACTTTATATCACCTCAGAACCATGATTTTCCGAACAACATTGAACAGCAATCCACCTGATAGCTGTCGCAAAATTTTAGTTTGAGCAAATATAAAACTTGGCATTACTATCTAGTCCAGGGGTGTCAAACATAAGGCCCAAGATCCAGAATCGGCCCACCAGGGTTTGGAAAAAGTGGTTTTATAGCTTTTCCTCCCCCATGTGCATATCAAAATAAATAAGTAAAAAATCCAAAGCAAAAAAACCAGATTTTTACTCAGTAAGAAAAAACAAAGAAAAACAAAAATGTAATAATTACAGGACAGTCTGCGCCGTGTACTAACAGAACGTTTTCTGTAAATTTAAACAATTATTTCTTATTCTTATTCTTATCATGCAGAGAAAACAAGACATATCAGTGGAACTGTACTTCTTTTTCTGGCTGTATGTGGCCCATAATGTAAAACAAGTTTGACACCCTGATCTAGACCTTCACAGCATGTTCTAGGTTTCCTCTTGTGATACCACTGTGTCCCTGAATCAGCTGTAGACGCCGATAGCAGCAGCCTTAAACATTAGATAAATGTCATCTGAAATTTCCTGCATCCTCCCCCTGCGTTTCCTTTTTCTGTGTACTTTTCCACTGAAAACATTACACTGCAGCAATAAAATACTAGACCAGTAATACCAAACATTTATGGTCCATCAACAGGAAGCAATTTCAGTCTCATTTCCTGTCCAGATCTGGAAGCTGCATCAAATAGTATTTGTCTTGTGCGTGATGCCACTGCTCAGTGAAAAGCAGTATTGTATAAGTTTTAAGCAGTTTCTGGGAAGGATTGCTAAAGTGAGCATTAGAAATGTTCACACCAGGTGCCAAGATAAAGATTCTGCTGATTCCCACATAAGGTCCTGGAAATTGTTGGTGTTTTTCTAGACTGCTCAGGTTTGTCATCGCCCCAGAGGGATTTTATTACCATCCAGTAAATATTTAGTTCGAGTAGCTTTTGAATGACTACATTTTGCTGCCCAGTTACCACTCTTGTGTATTAGCTGGACCTCAGCCATTGTTCGAATTAAGTCTGTGTCGATTGACTGTAGCTTAACACTTGGTGAAGATCCAGAATGACGACGTTAAAAGCCACTATTGTGTAAAGGTATCTAGGATCATTTCCCATACGTTTCAGTTCTTTAGGCTTAAGATTTGATTCAATTAAAGCATCTTTAAGTTTAGAAAAACACAAAAGAGGTCTGCCCCCTATATTGATTGGCTGCAGCGTCTGGCAGTGAACAGAAAACCAGCTGTTTCATTAGTCAGGTGAGGATTTAATTGAATTTCATGGATCAAAATTTTACATGAAACATGAGGAAATCTTGCTGTATCTCATTTACCTTATGCGCATATTTCCCCTTGAATTTAATGAGACAATGAAGAGTAAAGCAGGAACAACTGGGATCTTAGGTGGAGTCGACATTTTACTCACTTTAATACTCGCGTGTGTCACAGACCGTGTTGGCCCTCACCCTATGGACTTGAGTGTTTTCATTTAGGGCAGTTGCAGTCACATGACACTCCCACGAGTGACCTGGGAATGTCTGATTACGCATCTGCCGACATATGTGCGCACACTGCTGTGCTTCGTCCCGCAGCCCTGGAGTGCCATTTGTAGCTGATGTTTTACCACTTGTACCATTTGTAAATAGAAACACTCGTTATAGCTGTTATATGTACAAAAACAGTAGCTTCGTTGACAGTTTAGTGTACTTTTATAATGCAGCAGTCATAAGATTCACGCAGTGAAATCTTTTTTTATACCAACTCTGTTGGTATAAACAGTGGTTACTTAATGTGTTTGCTTTACATGCTGCACCTTCTGGAGATTTCATGTCCATTTAACAATGAATCTCTTAAGTTTTCTATTGGCTCTTACTAACTGCACACTTGTTTCTTTACCCTGACCAAACAATGATGGTGCTGCCAGAAACCCTAACATGTGTCATTTCCTGTGTCCTGAATACTTTCCCAGGAAAGCACTTAGAACAGCACATTTGCTGTTTGGATAGGAATAGGTGACTATTCACACTGGAAAAAGGTTGATTTTCTTTTTCTGTGAGTAGTGTGAGTATATTTGACTTATAATGCAATGGACATAATAAAACGTTCAGAGTAATGTATATTTCTATATAGTGGTCTTGCAGTAATTGACCTTTTCCAATTTCTATATATGCCTTTGTCTTCCCTGGTGCAATGGATCCTGTCAGTGGGAAGTGAAATGAAAACATCTACAGCCACAAAGCCCACTGTGCTCACAAAGCACCAGTTTTTCTCCCACATTTGTAGTAGTGTGTCATCGCATTTTCTCACAGTCACTCCTCTAAACCTTTATGTACGTCAAGCAGACGTCACACTTTTTGGATGCAGTGCAGTGGCCTGTATGTAATTGGAGATTATCGAAATTTCAGGAGCAGGACCACGCCTCCAAACACACTCCTTCCGGTTCTCATCTATATAGGTTCCGCCAGTTCTGCCAGCTGTTCATTCTTGTTTACGTGCCCCTCCCTCCCCTTTTCAGTTCTTTAACTTCTTCACTTCTATTTAGTACATGGGGATCTGCCAGGTCCAGGAGCCGTCGCCAGTCCTCTTCGAGGCCTTCCCCAAACCGCAGCTCAATTCATGTCCAAGCTTTCGCTATTACCTACTAAAACGCTGCCAAAACTAAAATGAGGACGTGGGCCCAGCTAGTGATATAGATAGATAGATAGATAGATAGATAGATAGATATGTGTATGTTTATATATGTGTATGTGTATATATATGTTTGTGTGTGTGTGTGTGTATGTGTATGTATGTATGTTTAATTCAGGGGAAAAATCTCCCTTCTCAAAATATTTTTTCTGAATGTTGACATTTTTTTTTTTTCACTAACCTTCCCTCCCTTACCCGTCTCCGAGGTAACCATCTGCAGATGTTCTGCTCATAAACATTAAGAGGCACCTGCCTCTCCTCTGGTCATAACATCCTCACCCGCCGACTTCCACCTGGCAACGCGAGCGTCTTCTCAGCCCCCACCGCCGGTCCCACCTTCAGCTCCTTCAGATTACATAAATAACATGACATCTGCTGAGAAAGAATGTCTGTCTGCTCCTGTGTTCTCCATTAACCCACCCGGCCCCCTTTCCCCCCCCAGGCCCCTGTGGCGGTTTGGCCAGCAGAAGGATGTGGCGCTGACTTTTGGTATTGAGGCCTCGCTTCTGAATCAAAATCTCTCATGGCCTGGCTTGTGTCTGTCTTTCTGAACGTTATGGACTTTCACTTATGCATTTGCCTCAAAGTCTGTTTCCTGTCATGTCTCCTCACTCCCAATTGTGTAGATAATGCAGCAGATGAGTGACCATCGCTACGACAAACTGACAGTACCCGACGACCTCGCCGCCAACTGCATCTACATGAACCTGCCCAGCAAGGGACACGTGCTTCTACACTGCACAGCAGAGGAGTTTCCAGAGAGTGCAAAGGTGCTTTTCCCCATCCACATTCAGCAACTTTGTATCACTGACGATAAAGCACATTCATCCACAATCCTGGCAGGAAGGACCACCGTCAGAACAACCAAATTGGTTTAGCGGTTTAGATTTAAGGAGCACTTGTCTTTGTTGTTGTTCATCTTGTCCAGGCCTCTGAGAAAAACAACTGGGGAAAGAAACCCTACAAAAGCTACATGGTTGTTTTAGTGGACCAATGCAGGCTAACCGCAGCCAGAGCTGTAATTTCTTTTTAACAAAAGAACCTGCAGTTTGATGAGAAGTGTCCTTTGTGAGCATCAGACCGCAGGCTAGGAGCCAGAGACATTGAGGTCTTGTTTTTCTCAGAACTTGAGCAAAGTTGTTCAAATCAGCTGCTGTAACAATTGGTTTAATATCATTGACAGGTTCAATGACTTCCAGTTTTACTGTTTTGGTTCACTCTGGCCAGTTTCAAATGTAAAGTGTTAAATCCACTGTGGCTGCCCAGCAACAATCAGCACAAACAGCATAATATGCAGCCAGCTGGTGAGCGTCGCAGACTTCATAGACCAACATTTCTCTCCCGAAAGATCAGGACTAATTGCCCTTTGAATATTAGACTTCTATTCATCAAATATATTGCAAATAAAACGTCTTTGACAAACTTTGAGAAACCGTGTTGGCTCAGCGGCTGTCTCGCCGTGTACATTTTCACTACACGGATACACACAGCTACGTGCTTTCTCAAATATCTCTGAAACATGCAGTGACCTACTTACATGCTGTTTATTTTTCAAGATGTGCCTTTCACCCGTTACACGTACTTGCTACAGTCACTTGACGTGAATGACATGTTATTGTCTCACCTCCGTCTCTTTGGGGTTTGGACAGGCTGAGCCGTAACTGTTATTTAGATGCTTTGGGGTCATTCCACATCACAACAAGTCAAAAGAATTCTCACAGGATTGAACCTGGCAACCTGCAATCTGCAGAGACAGTACTCAAACCTCAAAATGTACTCTGTGGTTGAAACCTCAACCTCCGCCAGCTATTTTTAGAAGGAAAAATTCACCAAATTATGCGTCTTTGGACTAGAATCCACAGTGAAGACTTTTGTCAACAAGATTAACTGAGGGAATTCAACTTGAACATAATAAAATCTTGAGCATATCATACTTCCCTTTTTGAAAGCACATATTAACAGAACATTTGGAGCACTATTTGAGATATGTATGCTAGTTCCATGAACCAGTTTCCTTTCAAAGGTTCAAATTCTTCAGAAATTGACCTGGAACACAGTTTTGGCTCCAAAAACTGTCTTTTTAGAAATTGTAGCCTGAAGAGAGTGGAAAAATATTAATAGCACAAGATATAACTTCTACTGCTTCTTCTTTTGGCTGTTCCCTACAGCAGATCATTTACGTCCATCTCACGCAATGTCTAGCATCCTTCACTGCCACACCAGCCCTCTGCATATCCTCCTTCACGGCATCCATGAATCTTCTTTGTTGTCTTCCTCTTTTCCTCCTGCCTGCCAGCTCTATCTTCAATACCCTTTGTCCACTCTATCCACTATCCCTCCTCTGTACATGTCCAAACCATCTCATCCTTGCCTCTCTGACTTCTAAGTAAAATCTGAGCATCTCATCCTCCTGTTTTTTGGGTTCGCCACAATCTCCAAGCTATCCATCAAAGCAGATCTCACTACCATCTTCTAAACCTTTCCTTTCACTCTTGTCTTTCTTCTACTGACTTTCATCCCTCTTCTCTCCAGAGCATACCTCAACCTCTCCGGAATCTCTTCCACCTGCTCTCTGCTCTCACTACAATCACAATGCTGTCTCTAAACGTCACAGTCCACAGAGATTCCTGCCTGAACTTATCTGCTAACATGTCCATTACCAATCTAAACATGAAGGAGCGCAGAGCTGAAGTAATCCCACACCCACCTTAAACCCATCCGTCACTCTTACTACTACACACCTCACCACTGTTTCACTCTCCTTATACATGTCCTTTCCAGCCTCACATACTTCTTTGTCACTCCTGACTTCCTCATGCAGTACCACAGTTCCTTTCTTGGCACCCTATCGGTTGCTTTCTCTACATACACAAAGACATAGTGCAGCTCCTTCTCTGTACTTTTCCCCCAACACTCTCAAAGCAAACATCGGGTCTGTAGTGCTCTTTCTCAGCATGAAGCCATACTGCTGCTCACTGATCATCACCTCTCTTCTTAACAACTCTTCAGCTTCAGCAGCTCTTTCTCATATCTTTATAGTATGGCTCATCAACTTTATCCCTCTGTGATTACTACAGCTCTGCACATAACCCTTGTTCTTTAAAATGAATACCAGTACACACCTTCTCAAATCTCCATTCATGCTTTCAGTCTCCGAGAGATAATACAAGCCGTAATATAGCAAGGGCAGTTTTATCTGAACTGACTATCCTGTCTAGCACAGTTCCCAGGGGAACTTGTTGCTTGTTCCCTCAGTGAGATGTAGAGATTTGTCAGCACAATTACCAAGACACTGCAAGATGTCTGCTGCTTTCTGACTCTAAACACTGTCTGGCCTGATCTCCGGTCTATTTTTAGTTGGCTCGTGAAGTTACATAATAGTCCCACATCAACAAAGGCAGGGGGTCATGAGAGAGGATTGGTAGGGTCAGATGGGGGTGGAGATGGGGCACCTTTAACGGTTAGTGCTGGCAGCTGCTGTTGAGGGCTCTGTTTGGACACATCGAAACTAAGCAGACAAAAGGTCCGGTGAAATATAGCAACTACTACTTTGCTGAGACCATGCCACCCTGACCCAGCATATAAATCTCAACTGAAGTAATGAGAACTCAGCTGGAAATGATCAAAAAAAGAGAGACTTTGGTTTCAGAGGTGCTATAAAGAGCAGAGGATTTAGTGATGTTATGTTGGGAGAATACTGTGAAAGCTTAATTTTCCCTGAGTTATGTCTGATTATATGGTCTAAACTTAAGATGTTTTTGAGAGGCAGTTCTGCTTGGTTAGTCCAGGATTGTTTTCCAGAGGGAAAATCATTCTAACTTTAGTGACCTCAAATGTATTTCTTTATCACTCTCTTTCCCCATGAAGCTTTTATTTCATTTTATTTTTATTTGACTTTGTCTTTATTTCTACCTTTACAACTTTGGGTCAGGTTTCCAATAAGTGCACCCATTCATATTCCCCACAATTCTAGTGCATTGATCAAACTGTATTATTAGCTTTAGCAATAGGCTAAGTTGTGTGTTGTATTCACTGACGACACTTGTCAGCATGTTGCTTAGTTTAAAGCATTGCTGCCATGCCTGTAGACCATAGACTGTATATAAAAGATGGAGCTAACCATCATCACTCCCTGGGTTCTGAGCCTCTACTTCAGCATTTTAGCTGTGACAATATTGTGGGTTTCTTCTTTGTTTGTTTGTTTGTTGTTTTGGGGGATGGGGGTAGCAATGTTTCATCAAAAGGCTAAAGTGCCAAGTTATCAGCTAATGTTGTCAAGTAAAACCTGTCTCGATAAACTGCAGATACTTGCTAAATAGTCCAAAGTAAATCCGTAATTGTAAAGCCCTAGAGATGGGTTGTCCACTATTTGGCAACTAGTGATAGCACGGAAAAAATCTGTATTCCCTAACCACTTGTTGAATGGGTGCTGGAGGTTGCTGACAGTTGATAGATAATTGTTCACAAAGAGCACCAAAAACCTCCTCATGATTACTTTGGTCACAAGCAGATTCTAGCTGTTGTAGCTTGCTTGGAAGATGCCGACTTTATGCTTGCTAACTGCTACCCAAACAGTAATAAAGCTTGAAAAAGTGCAATACAAGCCAAAAATGAACAGCAATGTGAACGTTTTGAGTCACCATTGCAGCCACCATGTTTACTTTGAAGGGGAACTGTCTGTTTCCAGCTTTTGCTGCACTTTTTGACAGCAGTTGCTTTACAAACCACTTTGCCTCTTCCCTGCAAACCATGAGCAACCTCTGCAATCTGCTAACGACCAAAGCAACAGGAAGGATGTATTTAGCACAGAACTGTATGTTTCATCTAGTGACTACCAGCATACTTTAGCAACTCACAGCCAACAAATTGGGAGATAGAAATTTTTCTCATGTGGTTGGCAGATGGTTACAGACTGGTCTCTATTGGAAATAAGTGTAATTAGGGCCCAAGAGACTAAGAAAACAAAACAAAACAAGCAAACCTGAACCTGAAGCACCTCTTGGACAGGCCGAGCATGCTGCTTCAGACCATGTTATATCATTTATTCAATTAAAATGCCCTAAAAGGCACAAATAGCACAGTTTGGACCAGACTGGCCACTCCCCACGCTTCAAGCCCTGCGGATCCTTAAAAAAAAACAGCAAATGGCAAGCAGGTTTTCTCAGTTTGATTCTAATACGTATAAATAAGAATTAACATATTTTAACAAATAGTATATAATTGTTACAGGAGTCCATAGCTGGTCAGCACTAATGTTGAGAATATTTCAGGAAAGCTCTGATTTGTGCTGCTGGCCACGTTACACAAAATGTCCCAGAAAAGAATCAAGACTTAGACAGAACTTCAGTGAGGTGAGGTTACACATGGCATCTGGTTCAGCAGAGGCTTTATCAGCCAAATTGCATCATGAGATAAAAATTAGTTTAGTTGGTCCCTCTGGCTGTGCCATAAGGCCTCACTGAAAGTCACAGCAGGGTTGAAGTTAGAGTTTATAGAGAAAACTGTCTTGGTTTGGAAGTGTGGTAGGAAAACGCTAGTTTTTTTCTGGAAGGTGTCCACACAGTGACACACTACTTTACAAGGGTCTTTTGAGAATATCGTCATAGTTCTCACTCCCTTCTCTCTCTCTTTTCTTATTCTTTTTTTATATTTTGCCGGGAGACCAGGAAAGCTTGAATGCTTGTTCTTCACAATTTGCGTCTCCCTGCAGAGTTTTTATATCACGGAGAATTACAAGTTGACAAGCTGAGCAAACAAACTTAAGTGTTACGTATTTTCCACTTCCAACTTAACTACTTCACATTAGATTGTTCTTTAGCCTTTTCTAATTCTACTGAATTGAAATGAACAGGGAAAATTTGCTAATTCCTAGCTGCGCTCCTGTCTGTGTGTCCTGCAGGTGTTTGAGAAGCTGAAGGACCACATGCTGATACCCATGTCCAACTTGGAGAAGGTCAAAGTGGATGGAGCCCTAACATGCTGCTCTGTACTGATCAACAAGAAGGCAAACATCTGAGCGGGGTCACTCGGGGTCTCTCAGTGCATGGTAACCACGCGGAGCCTTTAACTAATCACCATGGATCCCAAGGTTTGACCATCCTGGTATACAGAGGAGGTGTAGGGAAGTTTAATGTTGCTGAGGGGCAAAGGGAGTAATCTGTCTACCCTTTCACTCCAAAACACTAAAATAAAATTAAAAGTTTGAAAGAATAGTTCAGTTGATTTAAAATACAATATGTTCGTCAAATTTTCTCCTTATTAATTCATTTGTATTTTCCAATAGCATATGCTGCTTTACTTGTATACAAGCTGTTGTCATTAATTACAAGTGTGTCTGATAAAGACCTGATCCCAGATCAGATTAGTCAACCATGTGCCATGTTGAATTTCCCCTTTAACCTGCACAGCAGGTAGAACCACATTAGTAGAACCACACTTACTTACTGTCCAGTGTTTACAACTCTGAACCACACAGAACAGAGCGCTGGCGACAAACCCAGTGGGACCTGTCAGCTGTTGTCTCTGTACAGTATGGTCTTACCAACATTTGACTTCAGATGTATTAATAATTCAGCTAATTCAGAAATCATTTGGGTACAAATAAAAATGATACAATTGATGTGCATTGTTTATGGTCACCCTTTTAACTGTGATTTAATTTTTCTGTGTGTTTGCTTATGTAATGAATTATACACTAATTCTTCAAGAACTGTGTTTTGGAGCAAGTCCTGCTACGATGTGATATAAAATCTCAATGTGATTGTTGCAGTTACACCTTTTTTTTCCTCTTGTATGTCAAATTGCTTCTGTTCTATGGTGGCCCTGAGAGGCCAAATGGACTGCAACTTAAGAAAACACCAGCAATAAGAAAAATGCTTCAAAAGCACACAAAACACAATGGAAATAGGAAAAAAGAAAAAAGAAATAGCAAAAAACAGATTTCCAAAAGCACAAGGGAAGTGTTTCTGGGGAGACAATAACCCGACGGACTAGTTGCAGGAACCAAAACATGCTAAGATTGCACTGGGAGACACTTAAAAGAAGTGGAGAATCTATTGGTTTTGTGTGGAAAGAAAAGATGAGAGGTAAGTGTGTTAGCCTGACTATTAGCCTGAAAATCCGTCATCAGTATTATATGAATCATGATAAAACACGCCTTCCATGTTTTGGGTTCCTGCAACTGGTCCGTGAGGTTATTGTCTCCCCAGAAACACTTCCCTTGTGTTTTTTTCCTATTTCTGGTGTTTTCTTAAGTTGCAGTCCGTTTGGCCTCTCAGGGCCACCGTACTGTTCCTTTACAAGTGGTGCTAAAACAAACTTCCAAAACCATAACATTGCTTATTATTTCAAACAAATATTGTGAATTCTTATTCTGAAAATAATTCTTATTCTGAAAATACAGTTCTTAAAAAACTTGAAAAGCCTTGTGAAGATGTGAGATTCTGGTGTGATTACAGTGATTTTTTTTTTTTTTTTGCATTATAACTTGTTATTTATTAAAGCCACCCGATAGAGAAGCTACCAGTGACTGAAGATTATATATAAAGATGGATGTCACCTCCCAGACCGGTGGAAAAAGAAAACAAAAAAATTACGCATGTGTGGAAGTGCCTTAAACCTGCATTACTTATAATGGGCACCAGGGGGCGACACCTCTTGTTAAAAAAAGAAGAAAAGATTAGGGATGGGTATCGTTTAGGTTTT